CTCTGTAGAACCCCACTGCAGCAGCTGTTTGCAAGCCATCAGGAGGAAGGTAACTTTCCTTATAAAGCAAGAGGATTTCTCCCCTGATTTTTAATTCACAAAAGTAAGTCCATGGAGGGAACAGCCTTGGTTCTGGGCTTTGGATCATGGTCATTGGACAGTGACTTACAGGTGCAACGAAACCTTTCTCATTGCAGCTTCTGTGTTGATTCCGCTGTGATGTAATATTTTTAAAATAATAATAATAATAATAAGCACAATTACTCTGCCAGTGGGAGAATACCCTCTGATTCTGTCACTACTGTTCTTTTCTTTTTTAAAAAGGTATGTTGCACACAATCAGTTTCAAATGCCTTCTATATGAAGCTGGCATCTCACGTTGCAATCCCTCAAAACAATCCTGTCTACTGGGGATGAGCCTGAACAGTGGTGGATTGTGATCTGGAGTGGTATCCATGCCAGTGGCGTAGCGTGGGTTGTCAGCACCCAGGGCAAGGCAAGTAATTTGCACCCCCTAACCCGTGGATTTGCGCCCCCTAACCCGTGGATTTGCGCCCCCTAACCTGTGGATTTGCCCTAACCCCAGATGTTGCGCCCGGTGCGGCCGGCCCCCCCTGCACCCCCCACGCTACGCCACTGATCCATGCCACCCTGAAGTCTATAGAATCACAGAATTGTAGAGCTGGAAGGGACCATGAGGGTCATCTAGTCCAACCCCCTGTGATGCAGGAATCTTTTGCCCAAAGTGAGACTTGAACTCACAACCCTGAGATTAAAAGTCTCACACTCGACCAGTTGAGCCACGAGACCACCCCCATTGCTTTGTGCCCTTTAGTGGTAATTGGCAAACATGGATAAGTATGAGAAACGCTGGCTTAGCCACTTCTCCTCTCTTTAGAGCTGCCTTCCCCAACATGGTGCCCTCCAGATGTTTTGAACCACGACTTCCGTCTCCCTTGGCCCACGAGGTTATATTGGCTGGGGTTGTTGGGAACTGTAGTCCAAAACATTTTAAGGGTCCCCAACTGGGGGAGTGCTAATATAGGTCATATGTAATGGAACACAGCTGAAACAAATAGCCATGACTTTTGCATATGGGGAACGGGCATCTAAATCAGCGATGAGCAACCTGTGGTCTGTTCAGTTCATAGAGTCATAGAATCATAGAGTTGGAAGGGACCCTGGGGATTATCTAGTCCAGCCTTTCTCAACCTGTGGGTCCCCAGATGTTGTTGAACCACAACTCCCATCACCCCTAGCTAGCAAGCCCAGAGCTCAGGGATTATGGGAGTTGTAGTCCAACAACATCTGGGGACACACAGGTTGAGAACCGCTTCTAGTCCAATCTCCTGCAATGAAGGAATATGCACCTGCCCCATATGGGAACTGAACCTGCAACCTTATTGGGCTATAACCTGCAGTTTCACTGGCCTTTGGCCATGCTGCCTAGGGCTGATGGAAATTTGGAGCCCAACAGCATCTGATTTGCATGACATAAGGGGAAGAAGAAATCTCAAGTTTAGGTATTGGATGGAGGAGCCCTCCAGGCCTGTCTGACTCCAGGCCAAAGCTCCTCTTCCCAGAACACACCTCTCGCTGGCCTTCCTTCACACATTCCTTGAGAAGTTTTTGCCAGACTGGCATGTATCTTTGGACTCTGGTCATGCCTCTCGCTGGCATGGATGAAGGGCAGTGAGGAGTGTCTGCAGAAACTAGCATAATGCAGAAACTAGCATAGTATGCAAAGGTGAGGTTTTCACATGCTGCCTCTGCATGCTTTTGCCTCTAGCGCAGCCCATCACCAGCATGTGCAAGTTGTTGCCTGGAAGGGAATGCAGCTCTCAAGGTAAAAAAAATGTTCCCCACCCCAATATCAAGTATGGGTGCCTGAGAACAAGAAAACATGCCAGCCTTCAAGGGCTGGGTTAATAATTAACCCAAAGCCTCTGCCATTGGAGGACCCTAGGCAATTCAGGTTTTCTCAGCTCATCTATGGGATTCATAAAGACCAGTCCTCCGAGCAGGAATGATTGAGAAAGATGTTTACATATCAACATGTGCGTATCAAAACTGCCAAGCTGTATATAAGCTGCAGAAGCTGGGGTTCTTTGGGACTGTCTGTTCTTGGGTGTTTAAGAGAATCATTTGTTCCTCACCTGTTCCTCAACTTGAATTGATGCCAGGGTTTTCTGTGGCAAAACTATGTCACTTGTGCAGTATTTTTAAATTTTATTTATTAAATATATGCACCACCCTTCATCAAAAGATCTCAAGGCGGTTCACAGAACAAAATGCAAGATAAAACACAAGTAAATGATTAAACCAAAACAACAAAACAATACCCCCCTCCTTCCCACAGACATATTTAAAGGGCGTTAGGGTATTAATCAGCCAAAGGCCTGGTTGAACATTTTTTGCCTTGTGCCTAAAAATATATGATGAAGGCACTAGATATTTGCAAATTGTGTGAAGCCTTGGAATTGCAGTTGAAAAAGACACTGGATCGGTTCTGACAAGTTTTCTGTCACTGTGTACTATAATACTTGCAGTTGTCACGTGGCGATAATCGAGTGCAACAGAGCTGTCTAAAAAAGAGTTTGGTCCATAACAATCACCACAATTGAAGTTGCAATTTGTTGGAAACTTACCTAGGACTAAATATCTCACTGAGCACCAGTGGGGCTTACCTGCAAGGAAATTTACCCATGTTCACAATGCTAACCCTCATGGGGCAGGCTGCAATTTGTACAATGGGAGTTGTCTATGGAAACCATTATTGTACTGGGCTCTTTGGGGCAGTGTGAAGGAGCAGGTAGAATGGTTGGCCTTTTCACCAGGGAGTAACCATGGCATTTGCTGGTTGGTCTCTTACAAAATTGTTCTGAAAACAAAACAGGGCTACCTCTCTGAACTCCTTGGAGGAAGCATGGGAGAAAGACTTGACCAATGAACTGAAAAGTCAACATACCCCAGGAAAACCACTGGCTGGCTTTGACCTGGTGTGGCACTAGCAATTTAAACGGGGTGTTGGCTGGTCAACTTGGGGTGTGAAGCCTGCAACCCTACAAATGTTGCTGGACTGCGCACTCCCATCTTCCACCATGACTACTGGGCAGTGCTGTTTGGGGATGATGGGAGTGGCTCCGAGGCTCCCCAATCTTGTGTAAATAAAAGCGTAATTTCAAATTATTGGTGGGAGGGGGTCTCCTTAAATTAGAAGACTGGGTATTACCAGAGTTCTGCATCATCTTCTCTATTCTCGTTTTCTGTAGAACACCCTACAGAGTATGTTTCGTGCACAGGTGGATATTATGTCATTTCCTCACTGTGTTTGGATTCTGTCAAGTGCTCTGATTCCCTTTCTTTGACCTTCATACCTTCAAAGACAGTAAACACGTAAATCCCACCCCACGAAGCTAATCCGATTTGCAGAGGCAGGACCTGTGAATTGCTCTACTTCTCCCCCTCCACGTATAGACAAAAGGGACGTATATAATGGATCATTGTTCAAGCCTTCCGTCTCCTCTGAACTGCCTCTGCTGTTGCTCCAGGGCCAGGCCTTCGGTGGCCATAAGGCGAAGCAAAGCTGCTGTCCTCCCGTACTGCCCGCTCTGATCCGAGGAAAGAGGAACAGCTTTCTGGATCAGCCAAAAGTCCCAGCAGAAACTCTACGAAACGGCTCCCCTTTCGTAGCCCCCTGCCCCCAGCACCGGAGGACTGACTTCTGAGCAAAAAGACAGGAGGAAGAACTTTCTGACAGTAAGAGCTGTTCCACAGTGAAACAGACATATTCCCACGAGAGGCGGTGCCCTCTCCTTCCTCGGAGGTTTTTAACAGAGGTTGGGTGGTCCTTTGTCTTGTATGATTTAGTTCAGATTCCCGCATTGGTGGGGGTTGGACTAAATGACCCGCAGGGTCCCTTCCAATTCTATAATTCTAGGATTCCAGGATTGTGAGGCACGTTGAGAATTTGATTTCGCACGCTTAGGCTGCCTGCACACCATCCGTTTAAAGCGCGCGACTTCCCCACAAAGACGCCTGGGAACTATAGTTCACTCCTCACAGAGTTCCAATTCCCAGCATCCTAACAAACCAGCGTTCCCAGGATTTTTTTGGGGTGGGGGTGGGGTGGGAATCGCGCGCTTTAAATGGATGGTGCGTAGGCAGCCATAGACGCGCCTGAACCGATTGGCTGACTTAAGCGAGCTGTGCCAAACTTAACCCAAGACAGGGCTGCTATGTCGTTTGATCACTCAAAAGCAACAGCAGTCGCAAACATATTTAACACAAGAGTAAGGGTCATAGAATATCACGCGAATAACAAGTGCCTTTGCGGTTGCAGCCCAGGTACCGGGCAGAGGAGGCGCGGGCCACGGCAGAGCGCGGCAGGGGTCGCAGCGACTCCAAAGGGAACCTGAACCGCGCTGCCTGCAGCGCAGCGCCCCGCTCCTGCGCTCGATCGATCCGCAGTTGCAGGGTCGTTTCAAATCTCGGCTTTAGCCCTAGGAAGTTCCCCTCTTTATGTTGAGCGGGCGGAGGGAGGGAGAGGTGGGGGGGGGAGTCCGTCGTCGTCTTCCACAAGCAGAGCTTTATCCTTTCCAACCCCCCTTTCGGAACAGAAGCATTTGGCACGCGCAACTCTGGAAACATTTCCACTCCCGAAGGAGCTGCCGAGCGCCGTGAAGAAATAGGTACATCTTTCTTCCAAGCGCGGGCCGGGCGGGCAAAGAAAAGTCTCGCGGCGGGCCGGAGCTCCGGCAGCTCCTCCTCCCGGCGAGCCTGACGGCTCGAATCCGGAAAGTTGTGGCAGAGGAGAAGCGAAGAGCGCGCTCAGTACCCCTCCGCGGCTGGGGCTGAGCGTATGTGTGCCTGCTTGTATGCGTGTGTGTGTGCGTGTGTGTAAGCTGGAGGGGGGGCCGCCTGGAGGAGGGAAGTCCAAAAAGGGGGCGGCGTTCCCTTTAAAAGCCGCCTGCCCTGCCGCGCTTCCTTGCAGCACCAGCAACCCGCCGCGCCAGCCTCGCCTAGGCTCTCCCGGTTCGCTCACAGGCCGCCTGGCGCTTGGCGAGCGCGCCTCCAGCCCCCGCGCCCGTGACCTCAGCCCGAGCCGAGCAGCCACAAAAAGCCCCGAGAGGGAGAGGCCGCCAAGAGAGAGAGAAAAAGAGAGAGCGGCGCAAGCAGCTCCGCTTGCAGGAGAAACAGGAACAAGCAGCAAGAAGCGCTCGACGCCGGAGCCCAGGGCGCACGCAACGCGCGGAGAGAGGCAGGAGCCGGGTCGTGCGCTCTTGCCGCCGAGCCACCACCAGGAGCCGCCGGAACCGAGCAGCAGCAACAGGAGGAGGAGCAGCGGCGGCAGCGGCTGGCCGGGCCACTAACTCTGCCTGCTCGCTCTTGTTGCTGCTTTTCTTCTGCAACCAGGAACGAAAGCGCACGACCCAGAGGAGTGGGGGGAAAGTGGCCCGTTTGGAGAGATCGGAGGCGGAATCCAACGCTTCACGGCTGCTGATGCCAAGGGCATTTTCTTAAGGAGAAGGGAGCTGCTTTCTATTGACATCCGAGCAGGAGCGCCGAGGGGGCGCGCATTGCCGGCTCTCGGCCCGGGAAAGGGACGTTTCTTCGCCCCCGACCCTCCTTTCCCCGGCAGTTTCGGATCCTGAGCATGTTTCCCCGGCGGGCCGGGCCCTGGAGAAGGACGCCGGCGGTGCGTGCTCTTCCCCCGAGCTTGGCTCTGGGGCAGCGCCCTTGCAGCCGGGAGTGATGCGGCGCCCGGGAGAGGCCAGCGGGCCAGAGAGCAGCTGCAAATCCGCGACCGCCGCGTCGACGTCTTCTTCTTCCTCGTCTTCCTCCTCGCTTCGTCCAGGTTAGACCAGGAGCGAGACCATGCCCGGGATGTTTCTTCCTCTGCGCCGAGAAGCGAGCTCGGGCTGCAGCGCTGGAGAGGAGCTCGACTAGAGAGCGAGGCTTCGGAGGCGCTTGGAACGTTTGGTTCCCCTTTTGCCTCGGCTGCGCTCGCCGCAAACTTCCCAGGGAGGGAGGCAAATTGAGCACAGCTCCTCGCCGCTCGTGGACAGCTCTCCTCCCCGACCCCGGAGTAAGGAGGTGGGGGGGAAGACCACCACCACCCAAAAAAAGAAAAAGAAAGGACGGATCGCACATCCTCCCCGCTTGATCGGCCACGCTACTTCCATGTGGAGGGTGGCTCCATGGACGTGCCCGAGTGTGCTGCTGTTGCTTCTTAGGCGATCGGCGGGATCCTAAAAGGTAGCAGGAGGCGGGGGGCGCTGGGGAAGGAGGGCGCGCGCGGTTTCGAACTCGGCACATGGCCACACCTGTCGGGAAACTTCCCGCGGGGACTCCCTGCAGATTCTTTCCTCCGCGTTCCCCAGACTGGATCATACCTCCCTCCCCACAACAAAAACAGTCGCGAGTCTTCCTAGGAAGTATGAATTAAAGCTAATGGTAAACGAGACATTTCTGGTGGCAGATCTCCCTCTTGGCATGTACCTTGAGCACTTGTTGAGAGAATGCGGGAGGTGTGTGTCCCTTTTGCTTTTCCCCTTCTCTTTCTCCCCCGTGACAAGACCCCCCCCAGCTTCCCCCTTCCCCAAAACACTTTGCTGCGCAAGTTAACTGCTTGCAGCGCCCATCCTAAGCGCCTTGCAATATCCCGGGCCACAGGTGGCAGGCAGGGAGAGTACTGGGCAGGTTATTACGCGGCAGCATCCTCTCCCGTATATTGCAAGAAGTCCTGGCTGGGAAACACTTCCAGCAGGCCTCCGGAGTTGCTGCCCGTGTTGCTCTGCTGGCCCGGTCACTTGCTGAAGCTACTTTATTCGGGATGTTTCGCTCCGCTCCGCAAACTACAGGCTCCCCACCCACCCACCGCTGTTTCGGGAGCTTCTGAAACCCGAGTCCCTTTCTAGCCCATTATTGTAACGCGCCCCCCGCGCACCTCCATTCACAAATCCCATTGATTTTGGTAGGAACATCTCCGCGCATAAACCGTGGGTGGGGGAACTGGCTCCAGATGTTGTTGAACTACAGCTCCCATCATGCCTGACCATCACCCATGCTGGCTGGGGTTGATGGGAGGTGGAGTCCAACGAAGTCTGCAGGGCCACAAGTTCATCACGGCTGGCCTCTTAACAGTTAGAGAGGATCGTTTACCGTAGCCGAATGAATCCGAGGCACGGGAAAGGGATGCTGGAGAGTGGAGTTTAAGCTCGCTTTTACTGTAGCAGGCTTTTGAAAGGAAGAAAGTCCAACAAACCTAAATGCACGTCCAAGAACTTTACGCGCCCCTGAACTAAAGCAGCAGAAAGGCGCTCTCTCCATGTAAATGAGATCCTTGAATGAAACGGCTCACATGGATAAAGTTCTAGCTAGCAACCTTTGCAATCTTTTGCTTGTGGCTGCCGATGCCCCGCTCATTATGCTGGATCCCAAAACTATTAAAATGCGGAGCGAAGGGGGCGGGGAAGAGATGAAATAATGTTTCCATTAGCTATGTGTAGGTTACAGGATGTAAAGGAAGGGAGTGAGGGGGAGAAAGCGGGGAGTCAGGCAGTTTCAGGTCACAATCCAGCACACTGTCAGGTGCACTTGGTTTTGAATGCCTCATTCTGTGCTGACTTGTTGCCTTGGTGCATCCTCTAATTGTTTCCAGTGGTTTTGTCCAGCCCTTGGGGAATCGATGGGCTATAAAACTTGAAGTCCGCTCTCCTTGCAGACCTAGGAGGCTGGAAGCTCCTCTGGATAAATGTTTCACTGCAGTCAAAAAGGCATGTGTCCTTCCCCTTCCCCATGTAATTCTCCTTTCTAAAAAAAGCCACTCTGTGATTATTTGTTCTCCCTTTACCATATTCACCTCCTGTCTCCTCATTCCATACCTTCTGCTACATGCATGCCTGGGTTTTGTGCAGCAGAGCCACCTTACAGCAGGCAAGGAAGCAGCTTAAAGATCACAGTCCCATAATGCTGGCTCTCCAGCCTCCCCTCAAAACCCCACCATGCCACACCCTGCAATACTTCCTTCCTTCAGCTACGTCCCAGCATGCAGCTATGCTTGGGGGCTCTTCACACAATACTAATTATAACAGTTCTGTCTCTATTTATTCTCTGGAGTGAACAGTTGCACTCAAATAGCCCAGGAGCCACAGTGTGGGCTTGTGAATATAATTATGAAAATTCATGTGATTGTGGAGGTATCCCCCATGCCATATCGTGGGTGAATGTGTCAATATCTTGCTGCAGGGTTTTAGGCCACCCCTCCTTCAAGGGGTTGTGGGTGGCATTTTTAAGTGAGCCGCCCAAATCTGCAGGGTCTTACATGTGGTAGCTCCCTTCTGATATTTCCATTTCACATACTTTCCTTTGCCAGCAATCGCAAAGTTGTCCACGGTGGGGAGCAGGTTGTGCGTTACCAATATTGTTTTGTGTGACTTGCCTAGAGGAATGATAGCAGCTTCTATGGGTTGTATTCAACTAATGTTTATTCTGTTGAAATTAATGAACCCAGGTTACTCATGGCCATTGATTTCAGTGGGCCTACTCTGAGTAACAATTGAGTATAGCCTGTTTTTTCCTGGACTAAGAGGATCCATTTGTGGGATTTTCTTTTTGCTTGGGCCCTATCTGTGCTTTCAGCTGCAGGATTGTGAATTGCCTTTGCTTTCAGCTACTTATTCCCCATTGGCCATAATACCAGTTCCTACCAATCTTGGTCCATGTGGGCAGCTTCCATAATGTGCTGGCAGATTGCTACCCACCCCAGCAGCTGTGGACATATGAGAGAGAGAGGAAAAACAATATCCTGACACAGTTCATGTCAGTACCAAAGTTCCCACTGGGGTCAGGACTGTCTCCCATAAACTTCACTTTCAGGGAGATGTAGAAGGTCCTACCTACAAGGACCATGGGAGCCGGGAAGGGTTATTTATAGATCAATGGTAAAACTACTGTTTTGCATGCAGAAAGACCCTAGTTGGATCCCTGGCATTTCCAGGCTGGCCTGGGCATATCCCATCTGAAATTATACTACTGGCAGATAAAGGGGCACGGGTGGCGCTGTGGGTTAAACCACAGAGCCTAGGACTTGCCGATCAGAAGGGCAAGTGAGCTCCCATTGCTTGGTCCCTGCTTCTGCCAACCAAGCAGTTCAAAAGCACGTCAAAGTGCAAGTAGATAAATAGGTACTGCTCTGGCGGGAAGGTAAATGGCATTTCCATGCACTGCTCTGGTTCGTCACATGACCCAGAAGCTGTACACCGGCTCCCTCGGTCAATAAAGCGAGATGAGCGCCGCAACCCCAGAGTCAGCCACGATTGGACCTAATGGTCAGGGGTCCCTTTACCTTTACCGGCAGATACGACTGTGCTAGACGGCACCAATGGAATGGCTTTGTACAAGGTGGTTTCCTATGTTTCATGGAGCGAAAGCAGCCGTGAAGCTTAGAAGGACCTTACACTTTGCTCATGCTGGTTTTGCCCTACAGCGTTTCCTCGCCTGCCAACTCACCCTCTTCCATTCTCCCCAGGTTGATGACCATGGTTGCCAGGACCTGCTCTCTACTAGCACTGCTGCTTTATCACATACTGCTGGGTGGTTCGGCCAGCCTCATCCCGGAGGTGGCCGACAGGAGAAGGTTCAGCGGAGACTTGGGCCGCGTCACTCCCCTGCAACTCTCTGAAGGGATCCTGCGCGAGTTTGAACTGCGCCTGCTCAATATGTTTGGGCTCACGCGGCGGCCCACCCCAAGCAAGGACATCATCATCCCTCCCTATATGTTGGAGCTCTACCATCTGCACACCAGCCAGAAGCCAACAACCATGGACTATAACCTGGAGAGAGCTGCCAGCAGAGCCAATACTGTCAGGAGCTTTCACCATGAAGGTAAGGAGGGATGCTCTTAGCTCCTGCTTCCGCTGCCCAAGCCCTAACAAAAATAGGCTTGGAGATTCCACCCCCTCTGCCCCTTGCAAATTGGAATGCTGCAATTGCCAAGACGGTTTGGTGGTTGGATATTTGGGAAGGCCCACATAGCTCAGTGGGGGAGCACCTGTTCCCAGCGTCTCCAGGTAGGATGCAGAGAGACCCCTGCCTGAAATCTGTTCAGCGCCAAATGCAGCAATGGCCTTGATTTCTTGTGCTCCTTCACCCATTAGATATATGCAATGTATCTCTTGCTATTTAAGCAGTTGTGAATTCCTCATTATGCAAATTGAATCTCTGCCTGGTTTGGTTGCTGCTACACTGGTATGCTCTAACGAGACAAAGCATATCGCTCAAATCTGGTTAGCTGAAAAGTGCAGTTTAAATGTACGGTTTTTCCTTCTGAGCATCTATGCTAGGAAGGAAGAGATTACCACACTGTGTGAATGCAGCTGAAGTGTGAGTCTCTCCTGGTGGTGTTTCTGCTCAAACTCCTCTCAGCTTCCTCTTAGTTCAGTGCAGGCCTGTCTCAACCACTGAAAAATGAATCAGGGTTCTGAAACTAATCTTGCCCATGTTGACTTGGAAATAGGTAGCCTTCTTTCACACTCAAAGCTCACACCTGGAAACACCAGGAGGAATTCAAAATCTTACTCCTCTGATCAGAGCAAGCATTTTGCAACGATCTCCCTCTTTCTCCTTCTGTGTGCTGTGTGCCCGGACTCATCTGTTTTAATTCTGGCCACTATTTTGAATGATTGTGGTGGGTGGGAAGCTTTCAAAACCTGAAGTCATGTTGGCAGTAATGTAGATGTGTATGTGAAGACAGTACCATGCCCATTTCAGTACATGCCCATTAGCCTTTGGATCCCAAAATGAACAGAAATGGTTATCTCTGCATGGCTGCCAGGCCTCCTGGGCTGGATCCAAGCACAAGCCATTGTTAGAGCAGACCCGCTGGAATCGGTGAGACTTAACTTAGTCATCCCATTGATTTCCATGGGTCATCTCCGGAATTGCAACCAACCCAAAGATTGCAGTTTCAGCCTGTGATTTCTAAAAAAAATTGAAAAAAAATGCTATTTGAAGAACACTGACACGTTGCGTATCCCCTCCCCTGCATAATGATGAACATCACAGAAACACATGGCCTTGCAGTTTGAGACATTTTTAAAAGCACAGTCCATAGTTCTAAGACAGGGGTCAGCAAACTTTTTCAGTCCATTGTCCCTTAGACCTTGTGGGGGACCGTATATTTTTTGGGGGGAAATGAACGAATTCCTATGCCCCACAAATAACCCAGAGATGCATTTTAAATAAAAGGACACATTCTACTCAAGTAAAAACACGCTGATTGCCGGACTGTCCGTGGGCTGTATTTAGAAGGTGATTGGGCCTTAATTTGCCTACCCATGTTCTAAGATGTATTTGATTTTTTTTAAAAAAAGTTTATTTAATTTTCTAAATATGTTTCTGAAGATTGAGCCTGTCACTGCCTTTGTGTTGGCGGCAGAATCTCCCTTCCCTCCCTCCTAAAGAACCAGTATCCCGCATATGCTTATGCTAATAATGTGGGTGGCCAATTTGCCCAGAGGAGTGTAGAGACCAGTTTTTCCTCGAGGTGATGAACGTATAGATGGTAGGAAACAACCTGGAGCAAAAATGAGGAGGAGTACAAGGAATGTCACATTTCCCCCTTTAAATAGCTAGCAATTTTAGTTGCTGGCTATGTTTGTTTCATTAAACGTTAAGAATGGCAAACTACATTTCTAACTCTGCTGAACTCTTTGTTCTGTGCCTTATATTCATTTATCATTTTTTAAAAATTGACTTACATTGATCCAGAGCAAGAGAAGTGGGTGTGATTTTTTAATTCTACAGATTCTGTCCAGATTATGAGTTCCTACCAATAAATTTAAATGTTGCAGGCTAAATAGGAAAAAAAAAGTCTGTCTAATTTACAGTTGGCAATCAGGGTAACTTGGAAGGATTTCTAATCCCCGTCTAATCCCCGTGAGAGATCAATTTAACAATCAATTGTATTGTCTCCACCGTGACTTTGTCTTCTGTTTAAATCTAGATTTAGTGGAGACCCAAGGTAAGCCCTTCAGAAAGCAAGGCTGATAAGTTTTGGAGCAGCTGCCCACTGGATTTCATGGGCACCTGGGGCTTTAGGTCACTCAGATTAGAAGCCACAAGCAAATATGTACTTAACCAGACAGAACAATTGGGAGTAAATGCAACACAATCTTCAGATGCTCTGTTGCCACTTATTCTTGTATTTTCCAACTAGGCCACTTTGCTAAATGAAAGGCAACTTGCTTGAACTTTTATGCAAAGTGCTTATATCCGAGTTCCTTAAACTTGAATGAACTTGTCCTCAGCACTACTGGGCAAAGCTTTACATTGTATTTGCAAAGGGTTTTTTTGTTTTGTTTTTGCTGCTGCTGCTTCTGCCATCTCTGTTCAATGCAAATCCAAAGGTTTTGCCATGATTGCGGCAATCTCCTTTCTTCTCCCCTCCATTTATGACCCTAAGCACATTTTGTGTGTGTGTGGTTAGCAAAGTCACATTGAATTAGCTAGACTTACAGGTTCCTTTCTGTGTTTCTGCATCCCAGCCACAGATAGTTTGATGCAACACATGTACAAATAATAAGCATTCAGAGGATGTGAATCTAGTGTCTTCTGCAGAAAAGCTATAAACTTGCAGTTGTCAACCTTTTCACGGGCGGCATTGATGGATTGTAGAATTGGGGGGAGAGAGACGGAAGCAACTGCTTAGATTACATATAGTATAGAGCTGGGCTGGCAAGGAAAGATACATAAATATGTATTTTAATTAAGTTTCTCCACAAGGGGTGTGGCCTGCGTAGTGATTATTCTAACTAATAGCAAGTCTTAATGAGGAAAGAGATTAATGGTGTAACTTAAACTTGCACTGTGGCTTATGCTGCTTTGTGTGTGTGAATATAAAACTAATGAATGGGAGAACTTCCAGTAAACATTTCAATTGTGCCAAAATGCATCTTAACGCAGAACTACATACATATATGAGCGGGCAGAGGGAGGGAAGGCTAGCAAGTGTTTCGGTCGGTCAGCTTCCTTGCTGCAACTCTGCAACAATCCTTATTCCAGCGAAATAAACCCTTGGGCGATAACCCTACACCCCTTTGCTTGGGAGTAAGTCCCACTGAAGCGGAGAAGCAATGACTTGGCCATTTGCGGTCCAGTGATCTATATAGCTCAAGAGAGAACTTGAACCCAGGTCTAAGTCTTTCCCTAAGTCTGTTATTTATTGTGGGAAGCCTGTTCTTTCAAGCCGATTCAAAGGGCTGTTCTCTCCCCCTCCCCAAAAAAAATTACAATAAAAGCAAACACATAAAAGGAGCTTATCTAGAGAGAGCTGCCTTAAAACAGCAGTAGAGATAACAGGTTAGTTTTTAAAGGCCTTGGGAAATAGAAAGGATGTTAGGGAATACAACCATTACGGTAGGTCTTTTGGAGGGTTTTATATTGTAAACCATCCAGTCATCCTCTGATGAAGGGCAGTATAGAAATTTAATTAATTAATAATAGTAATAATCGTCATCACCTTATGCCCCGAGGCGTCTCCCTGGCATGTCAGCTACTGAAAGGCCCTTTCACAGGTGCGCTTGAGAGGAAAGGGAGTGCCTAGACAATGGTGGGGTTTAAATACGAGAAACAGTGTGGAGGAACTGGTTCAATGCTAATTGGCTGGCGGCTGAGGGCTGCAAGATCTGGAGGGCTGCAGGTTCCACACCTCCTGTGACCAGGATACAGATGTGCTTACAGAGAACCCACAGGAAAACCTGTTTTTCCCTCTGACTGTTTTGCCGTAGCGTGCTACAGAAAAAACACACACACTTAACTTTTCTCTGAAAGCTCTAAAAACCTGACGCGATCATTTACTTTTTCTCGCAGTTCCAAGGGCCACAAATGATTTGAGCAAATTGTTAGATTGTTTCTTCATTTCCTTTAATAAAAACACAGGCCCAAGTACACTGTTTGCAGCTTGCAATATTCCTCCCCACTCCCCGTCACATCCAATCCCATAAACCAGCCTAGTTAAAGTAAGAGGCCTCTCCCTCCGTCAGTTGAGCATGAGAGTCTTAATCTCATGGTTGTAAGTTCAAGCCCACCTTTGGACAATGTTTCCTGCACACTGCAGGGGGTTGGACTAGATGGCCTTCATGGCCTCTTGCAACTCTACAATTCTAAGATTTTGCCTCTCTGGGTAGGGAATTCCACAACCATGGAGCCACTGTGTTGGTCCCTGTCAGCCTAACCTCTCTCCTCAGCAAGCACATGTCTGCCACTGACCTTTAATCTCTCTGGGCAAAGGCAGAAGCTCTGCCTTTGCAACCATGCAAAACACGGATTCGTTGGGGTTTTTTGGGATGGGACGGGGGTTTGTTTAGCCCTGCCTTTGTTTTGCACATGTCAGTTCAAAGCCACTTAAGAGAAGTGTCCAATTAAAGCACCAACGATGTAGATAGGGCAGGAATTAAAAACAAATCGAATGTGAGGTAAACACAGCGTGGCTGTGGCTTGTTATTCTCGCGAACCCTCCCTAGCCATTGGGTGAGCGGCTGTTTTTTCCCCTGTTGCAAAACTTGGCGGGGGCAGGGCGGGAATGGGAACGCAGGAGGCAAGGAGGGGTTTGGGTGGAAAGAGACGGAAAGATGGCAGCCGGTTGCTGGCTCTGAAAGGTAGTGAGGAGTCGCCAGATGCAGTAGGGTGAGGATAGAAGATGGCCCTAGGGGACAGGGCAGCGCAGGATAAAACACCGCAGCAGTTTTTCCTCTGAGTAGAAGGAAGCAGGGGGACTCCCATCAGGACAGGGCAAGGAAAAACAAGGGTGAAGTAGATCTTGAAGGAAAGACACCAGGGGTTTGTGGTGGGTGGAAACCCCAGGAAAGAGTGTAGACTCAAAGGACTGGGAAATGGCTTCTGTTTTCCTCAGAAGATGTTCTTCTGGAGAGATGGAGAATTTGTGGCCCTTCTGATGTTGCTGGGACTACAACTCCCATCAGCCCTAAACACTGGAGCATGCTGGCTGGGGTGGTTGGGAACAGGGGCCCACAGTTCCCCACATCCCCTCATCTTGTTGTTCTGGCACTTTTTAGAGATGCTTACAGAGTTGTTGGGACGTGGGTGGCGCTGTGGGTTAAACCACAGAGCCTAGGACTTGCTGGTCAGAAGGTCGGCGGTTCGAATCCCTGCGAAGGGGTGAGCTCCTGTTGCTCGGTCCCTGCTAATGCCAACCTAGCAGTTTGAAAGCACGTCAAAGGGCAAGTAGATAAATAGGTACCGCTCTGGTGGGAAGGTAAACAGCATTTCTGTGTGCTGCTCTGGTTTGCCAGAAGCGGCTTAGTCATGATGGCCACATGACCCGGAAGCTGTACGCTGGCTCCCTCGGCCAATAAAGCGAGATGAGCACCGCAACCCCAGAGTCGGCCGCGACTGGACCTAATGGTCAGGGGTCCCTTTACCTTTTTTACAGAGTTGCTGAGAGAGGAGAACAGTCCGACCCTAAGACATCTTGCTGTCAAATGCTACACACCTCATTCATAGCCAGTGCTTTGAAAGGAGTCTTACAATGCTGTTCACAAACCACTCCCTGCCATTTTGTAGCCTGCACCTATCTTGGTGCCACATGACCAGGTGGCTTCACCCTAAAGCATGTCAGGGCCACCCCTGCAAGAGACTCCATGTGCTCAGGCATACATGTGGCCTCACTGCAGATGGGTGTAGAGTGCTCAGGACACCACATTTAGAGGGGGCCAATTATAGTTAGCTTTCCTGCAAATGCTTGGGAGATACCCGTTGTCCACCATAGACTTGTGTACTTTAAATGCAAGCTCTTGTTTAGGTGACCATAGAGGAAAGGGACTCTGAATCAGATGTTGGGGAATAAGGAGATACCTTTGGATTATAGTTGTGTTTCCAAAGCTGCAGTGGGAACAATTAGGCTAGAATCCAAAACTTCTTCCTTTGGTATTTAATATTAGTGACACTTCCAAGTCAATGGACCACGAACGGAGCAATGTCGCGGTTAAGATAGTTCACAATATGCTTAGACTCAGTCACAGTTGTTGCATTTATGCCTCCACTGGTAAAAGTTGCAATGTGTGGTGGTATTATCATTGTGTAGTTCACCGAGTGGGCTGGACACATTGCTTGTTCATAACCCAATTTAGAGGCTATCTGAGAATATGGATATTGTATCGCATACTGAGCCATTGGAATAAAACAGGAGATAGGGCAAGTCAAATCTTCCCATTGCTTTCTCTTAGATTTCTTTGACTTGCACATGAATTTATTTCTGAACCCAAAGTGCAAATGAAGATTCACTCCAACTCCCATCAGTCTCTAATAGGGTCAGGGATGGTGGAAATTGTAGACCAGCAATATCAACCTTGGGAGCAGCAGATTCCCTCACCCTTGGCCTCAATGGTTTAGTTAAATTTGGCAGCAATAGTACATCCTGTCAATACTGTACAGTGTTATTGGTCATAAGTAAATGTTCAATCATAGTACTATATTTCCCCAAAATTTTGTTTTCCAAAAAGCAAAACTCACACCTTAAAACTATCTGAGAGTGCTCCAATCTTCCACATGGGATGCACATAATTCCCTTCGCCCAGTATGTCTTCATCCCCTCTCTGAGCCTTCCCCCCACCCCTCCTCATGCCTTCCATATTAAAAAGAACAAAAAGGAAATGGTGTTTTGTGTCCCTGGCCACTTTAGATGATGACCAATATATTGCCTGTCTCCAGTTCAAATTTCAGCCACATACTTAAGCAAATGTTCATTCCTCTGCTCCCACCTGTAATAGCAAGTATTATGTAGGGGGTGAGCTTTCAACAGTTAAAATTAGTAGTAGATTTTATAGAAAAGAGCAGGACAAGGCACAACTCACAAAGCGCCTTCCAGGTTGGCAGGGTCTGTATGCCTGTTTGTCCCATATTTTGCAGTTAACTGTTCATAATAGCAGTGCAGTGGACAGGCAGTATGGATGATGAATTTGCCCAACATGTGATGCAGCTGTAGACTGCTGCAGTTCAGTAGATCTGTGCGACTTTGTTGCCTGTTCCTGCAATGCTGCCCATGGCCTCCCCCCAAGCAAACAACTAGTCCTACCTGGTGCCCTGCAGATGTTTAAGACTACAGCTCCCATCAGCCCCAACCAGCACGCCTGCGAGCTATAGTCCCAAACATCTGCAGGGCATCCGAATGGTTTAACTACTAAACCCATACAAGTTATTTTCATTTAGGGCCTGCTTGAGTAAAATGACTGGGTGTGCTTTGTGGAAAGGTCTATAATTACGAGACAGGGTTTTGGATAGTAAGTTTTGTAAATCATGAAACTTGTGGCACAATGCCTTTGGAATGGCTTTTGAGAGACTGACATGAAAACTGGAAGGTAGGGGTTTGTTGTTGGCGTTGTGTTTTTTTTTTAAGGGAAATCTTTAAGAAATGCAATCCCTTTCCTTGATCCTCAGTCAGTTTTTAATTACTCTCCCTGGGCCCCTGCTAACCACAGTGTTAAAAAATGTTCTTTAATACCCTTGAATTCCAAAGCAATGCCTCACATTTCTTCCCCCTTATTACGACCACCTGGAATTTGCAGTGCACTCCTATGAGATCCAAAATGTGCGGCAGCGAACGAAGCATTTTAACATCATGTTTCGTGGGCTTGCCTAAACAAACAGAAAGACAAGAGCAACTAGAAAAAGGGAAAGGGGGAAAAGTCATTTGAATTTCTAACGTAACACACGTATTGGCTTATGCTAATGTTACGGGAAATCTTCTATATCTGTAGGGTACTTCAGATATTTCATGGCATTATCTGAGTTACTGATTGTGTTTTTCTTCTTCTTCTTTCTCTCCCCCCACAACCAGAAACACTAGAAGAACTTCCAGAAAGAAGTGGGAAAACATCTCGTCGCTTCTTCTTCAACTTAACTTCCATCCCTGAGGGGGAGTTCATCACTTCAGCTGAGCTTCACGTTTTTCGGGAGCACATTCAAGACGCTTTTGAGAGCAATGGCAGCTCTTACCACCGTATTAATATTTATGAAATCGTCAAGCCCGAGAGAGAGGCCTCCCAGGACCCCATCACGAGACTTTTGGACACACGCTTGGTGCATCGTAACGCCAGCAAGTGGGAAACATTTGATGTGACGCCGGCTATCATGCGGTGGATTGCACATGGACAACCCAACCATGGTTTTGTGGTAGAAGTGGCTCACTTGGACCCCAGGGAGAGCACTGCCTCCAAGAGGCACGTCCGGATCAGCAGGTCTTTGCATCAGGACGATGCCAGCTGGTCTCGGATCAGGCCGTTGCTAGTGACCTTTGGGCACGACGGAAAGGGACACCCTCTCCACAAGAGAGAGAAGCGCCAGGCCAAGCGCAAGCACAACAAGCGCAAGTCCAATTGCAAACGGCACGATTTGTATGTGGACTTCAACGACGTGGGGTGGAATGACTGGATAGTGGCCCCGCCGGGCTATAGTGCCTTCTACTGCCACGGAGACTGCCCCTTCCCCTTGGCAGACCACCTGAACTCCACCAACCATGCCATTGTTCAGACTCTTGTCAATTCCGTCAACCCCAAAATCCCCAAAGCTTGCTGCGTGCCGACAGAACTGAGTCCCATCTCCATGCTCTACCTGGATGAGAACGAGAAGGTGGTACTAAAGAATTATCAAGACATGGTTGTGGAGGGCTGTGGCTGCCGCTGACGTGGCAGCAGGATGGAAAATGGACCAATGAAACAAAACAAAACTTGACACTTTAATATTTCCCAATGAAGACCTTATTTATGTTATGAAATGGAGAATTAAACGCATCTATTTTGAAAAAAAAATCTATTTATGTCTACAGAAAAAAGTGAGGAAAAAAATATTTTAATCAGAGAATTATTCCTTTTAAAGATTTTTAAACGTATTAGTTGTACATTTTATATGGGTTTAAGCGCGCCCCCCTTTCCCCCCTCAGCACATGAAGTATAAAGGTCAGATTGTTATTTTGTATTTATTTACTATTATAACCACTTTAGAAGAATAGCTAATTTGTATTTATATGTATAATCAAAAAAAGCAGAAGAAAAAAAATATAGGGTTTGTACATAATTTAAAACAAATGGTAGCTTTTTTTTGTTTCTCTTCCTTTCCCAGTGTGTATTTAAGTAAGTTGCGATGTGTACATGGAAGGGTTACTATGGCAAAGGTGCGTAATGCATTTTGCTTTCTGCAGTTCTACTGTTAAGGTCACGAGTGCAAGCCCAATGAAAAGTGGCTAATCCGCCCTGCTGACTCAAGATTATATTGTACAATTCTCAGGAATGCTGCAGGGGTGGGCTGCCTAGTCCATGAGAAACTGGCATCCTCCCGGTGGGGAGCATTTGGATAAGAACCAGACGGTTGCCGAGCAAGTAGAAATAGAACTGATGTTCCTCATGAAGGTGTGACACGACCCCCAACTGGGCTTCTCTAGAAAACTCTCGTTCCCTACTTTGATTTTCGTTTTTTGGTCCTTGCACCGACAGAAAAGCAAAATGTTTATGCTGTTCCTCCCCTTTTAAGTAGTTCACCCATTGGAATCCTTGTCCTGGCCAAATATTAAATAATAAAATACCAGATTTCTTCAGTTTTTAAAAAGCTTCATTTCTGCTCGCCTTTCCGACGGCGCCTAAGGTATTCCTGCTACTCCAGAGTAAAGCTCGCTGGATGCCAGAAGTGTATTATTGCGCACACCTTGCAATCTATGTTAACAGAGCTCCGAGGGAAGAACAGGTTTGTGGGAAGCAGCAAAGTATGCAAATTCCACCCTTTTATTTTCCTAGGGACATCAAACACATGCAAAGGAATCTGAGGAATTACTACCGGGCCAGGCCCTAAATATCTCCTCCCGCACCTATGTAAAAAGCTCCAGGGAGGTAGAAGTTCGCATGCAGTCAGATGTGTTGCCCATATGCAAGTATAAAGCTGGGTCAACTTGCACCCCCATGTAAGGGGAAGAGGGCTTCTTGGTTTCCCACGAGAGCTTGCAGAACAGGAAAACAATCGCCCTTCCATAGATTCTACAGAGCAGGTGGGAAGTAGCCAACATGGCGCCTTCAAAATATGTTTTTGAACTTACGCTCTCATCAGCCTCAGTGGCCAGTGAGGAGGGGTGCACCTGGAATGGGCTACTTACAAGCAACAGCGACAGGAGAAATGTTCACCAGAGTCAAAAGACGTAAAGCTACACTGCAGTCCTACACATATCTACTCGGAGGGCAATCCCACTCAGTTCAGGGGGAATTACTTTGGGGAAACCCAGCTGACTCAATCGCACTTGCATCTGAGAAGCTTTGTGAAGGATTGCGCTGCTAGTCTGGCTTGCAATAAGGCCATTCATAACTATCCTGAAATTACATACTGTGGAATAATTTCACTTAAGTGGTTTGAGAACGGATCATTAGGTGTTCACGGGAGCATATGTTTATTTTAAATGAAAGCAATGTCCCTAGAGATGTTTCAGTTTGTCCTCCAAAGTCAAGCAGTCCTAGTTAGACCTGCAAATGTTTTTTGCACAAACAAAGAGATTTACGTGGCTTTGTTTTGCAGCATTTTCCCCTTTTTAAAAAATTGGGCACTGGAACTTTTTCAATAGCCTTGGAGTAGAGGGTCAGGGAACCTTGTCTGCAATCTTTGACAAGTATTCTAACCAGTGCTTTTTTCCCTCAAAAAAATGTTTAGGAGTACTCTCATTTGCCTACTCATATTGAAATACTGCCCCTCAATGAGGCCAAACTTAGATTCACAAAATGTTTAGGGGTATGCATACCCCTGCGTCCCCCCAGGAAAAAGCACTAATTCTAACTATGTTGCTAAACATGTCATTGTTGTCTGAATGGCACTTTTTCACAAAATGGTGCTCAGAGTGTCTCGCAAAAGGTTAGATGAACAGTGAGTATCACAATTCAAAAGCCTACCAGAAACAATTAGAAATAATCACAATATCGGTAAGTTATACAAAAAGGGAATCCATACAACATTGTATGAAACAAGACAAATAAGCTTTTCTAACTTAGTGGCTTAAATCTGATGGATGTCTTACCAAATAAGCAACACCTGCAACTTTAGGCTGCACAATCAGTAACAGCAACCCTTCAGAATGAAGACCACTAGAGAAGACATGTAATCATTTCATGACCTGTTCTTTGGCTTGGTAGGACAAGACTGTGACTGTAAGGTCACATCCAAACTATGCATTTAAAACATTCCCCCTGCCCCACAAAAATCAAAGTAGACTCCCAGGAATTGCCATTTACTCTGCAAAGAGCTACACTTCTCAGCACTCTTAACAGACTGCCATGCTCAGGATTATTTGGGGGATGACATGCGCTTTAAATGTATGGTGTGGGTGTGATCTGGGATATTGGCTCGTTTGTAACAGCAGTTTTGGAATTACTGAATACTTTCTTAAACCAGTTTTGTTGAAAGCTTGTTAGCATCATAATCATCCAAAAGGGAGGCTTGCAGGACACTGAGAAGGGATGCTATAGAAGGTTAAGACTCGGAAGTACTGGAGAATATTCATGCAGTGTTGTGAAACCTTCATTCATGAATATTTTTTGGTAAGCAAGAAGGTGCAGTGCTCATTTAATATGTAAATATAGCCTGCAACAATTTGATCTGAGGTGACCTCGAAAGATCTGTCGTTTCATTTCTGGTAAAATGGCAAGGAAGATCTTATACATTTGTTTCTGGGTAATTTTCTTTCTTTATGTCATTCATGTTTGGAATAGCGATTTGTCCCCCCCCCTTGGTTCTCAGCAATAAACAGTACAGTGGTACCTCGGGTTAAGTACTTAATTCGTTCTGGAGGTCCGTTCTTAACCTGAAATTGTCCTTAACCTGAAGCACCACTTTAGCTAATGGGGCCTCCTGCTGCCGCCGCGCCGCCGGAGCACGATTTCTGTTCTCATCCTGAAGCAAAGTTCTTAACCCAAGGTAATATTCCTGGATTAGCGGAGTCTGTAACCTGAAGCGTCTGTAACCTGAAGCCTATGTAACCCAAGGTACCACTGTACTCAGAAACTTCCACACATTTGTGGGTCATTTCCCACTTGTGGTGACAGTTTTTTCTGCCTGGATTGAATAGGTCTTCTGATTGTTGCTTCATGAATCCAGTTTGTACACCACTGCAAACTGTCTGTCAGAAATGTGTGCAATGGGATGTTAGGAATGGATGTCTGGTCCTTGCTTGTGGGGAACTGTTCAGCCTGCCACTTCACTACCTCCAAATTCAATTTGCACGTGCAGAAAAAGCCCATAACATGCTTTGCCAAATCAGTCCACAGACTGTCTGGAATTCTTTAGTGCTAAGGATACTAAGAACTAAGGGGGGAAATGAAGTTCAGAATTTCAAATTTAAAAGGAGATGGAACTACAGGAGTTGGGGCTGTAGGTTTTCTGAGGGTTCTGTTAAGTCCAGTTGGACAGATGCATGTGATTTTCATGGTGATTTTGATCCTATTTCAAGGGGTTTTGGGTGGGTACCATTGCTGAAAGAAAAGAGGTTCAATGCATTGCCCACAAATCAACTCTAACCATTGAAAATCAATCCAACAGGCAACTTTTCTGAACGACATAAGGTAAAGGTAAAGGTACCCTGCCCGTACGGGCCAGTCTTGACAGACTCTAGGGTTGTGCGCCCATCTCACTCAAGAGGCCAGGGGCCAGCGCTGTCCGGAGACACTTCCGGGTCACGTGGCCAGCGTGACGAAGCTGCATCTGGCGAGCCAGAGCCGCACACGGAAACGCCGTTTACCTTCCCGCCAGTAAGCGGTCCCTATTTATCTACTTGCACCCGGGAGTGCTTTCGAACTGCTAGGTTGGCAGGCGCTGGGACCAAACAACGGGAGTGCACCCCGCCGCGGGGATTCGAACCGCCGACCTTTCGATCGGCAAGCCCTAGGCGCTGAGGCTTTTACCCACAGCGCCACCCGCGTCCACAGACGACATACAAATTCCATAAAGCAGAGAGAAGATAATTGGATTTCAGGTTTTTTAAATTTAAAAATATATCCTGCCCAGCATTCTAGTTCCATTATTATATCAAAGAATGTTACAGCGCCAAAGCAAAAGCATGGTGAGATTTTCACAGCCCTCCCATCAACCCAGTCATTTGTAGTCCGTTTGATGTTGAACATGCATGAATCAGGACCCAGTAAAATACTGTATAAAAAGCAGACAGAACTAGTAACAAGGCCAATTAGCAATTGATTCATTTGTTTATCGTGCCTATAGCTCACTCCATGAAGTTCAACTTAGGGCTGAGAGCCAACTGTCCTCATATTTCATTTATTTACAGCAAACTTCAGTTCAGGATAAGGGGAAGCCCGCAGAATTATTCTGGGTGGAATTCAATGTCAAAGGCATGCCTACCTTGCAAGCAGCTGTATCAGTGTCCCTCCCCCAATCACTTAGAAATCACCACATTTTAAACGACCCAAGTATTTGAAGTGTCCACAGCGACAACGAGGCAGGATGGAAAGAAATTGCACGCCTTTATGCCGCAGTGCAAGAAGGACAGGAAGCTTCTCCCACATTTGATCTTGCCCCAACATTGGCTGCACACTGATGTCAGACACCCCATAGTCAGATAGGTGGTTTTTGCACCCCCAGTGGGGGCTAGTTTCACCAACCCCTAGGTACACCTCTGGCAGAGCCGTCTTTCCCATAGGGCTTAGTGGTGCTTTGCGCCAGGGCGCCGGGCTCTCAGGGGCGCCCCAGTGAGTGGGGGAGCTGCACGGCTTTGACGGCTGCCTCCCCTTTCTTTCCCTGCATGTTCGCCAGCTGCGCCCCATCAACCATATGGCTGGCGAGCACGCAGCTTCCTTCCCAAGCCTCTCCCGCAGCGGCATGGGGGAGAGTTGCGCCTCTCCCCATGGCTGGCAGTGTGCAGCTTTGCCACCCCCCATCCGTGGTAATTTGGGGGCTCTGGGCGGATATTTGCACCCCAGCACCATATCTGCTAAAGACGGCCCTGACCTCTGGTCACACTATTGCAATGGTTCTGTTAGAATAAGCACTTCCAGTTTCCAGATGGGACCATCTCCTCTCTCCTCCCTCACTGCACATTGTTCTGGGGGGTTCTGATTTTTTTTTAAGGCACATGGGAATTAGAGGGGGAAAGCCCCAGTCATGTTAGCCAGACCTGTGCTGGCTCTGGCTAGCAAAACCGTTTAGTTGAATCCAGCCTGAATTTTGACTTTTGCTCATCAGTTGCCTTCGCTAAACCTGTTCCCTTTTAACATGCGCAACAGCCATACAAATATAAGCCATGGTGGTAGGGCATCATTGCATAGAGTACGTCTCTGTTGATACCAGATGCTGCTTCATTTGTCACGACGTGCCTAATCTTATCTAGGATCTCTTTCCACGATCCTTTCAGCACAAGACAGATGTGGCTTCAAATAATTCTGCGCTGACATCCTATCATGCCCTAAAGGCGGTTGTGTGCAAATAAATGTCACGTACAGAATTCACACAAATGACCACAGGACGTAGCATCTTTAGCTTGCCAGACACATGTAGAATAAAAAATGTAGACGTTATAGACTGGAGGGATTCCAGTGTGAAGGAACCTTATACATACAT